TTCACACTCTCAAACTCTGACAAACGCACAGATTGCCTCTCATGTTTGACTTCAAAATATTCAAAGAAAAGCTATTTTTATTAAAAACACTCTAGAGAAAATTGTATGTCACTTGTTCTCTGATATAACTTCATTTCTCCTGACAGTGACAATTTTCACCTCAGTACAATTTCTTTATTTTTTCCAAAGCTAATTCTGCTTAATATTAGTATTTATACAAACTCATATCAACTTGTCTCTGTGAAATGTTCAAGGGTGTCAGGTAAATGTTGCTCACTGTCAGTCATCTTCTTTGGTGCTCAAAATGATCAATAGATTAAAAACTGCCGCTACTTACTTGAGATATTATTGTTTTATTTGTAAGGAAGAACTTAACAAATGTTAGATCATTTCATTTGACAAAACTGTGTCTGAAAACTATGAGGATTTGAAAACTTGAAGGCAATGTCTGATGTAGAAGATTTTTAAAAGTTTGTAGGGATAAATCCATTTGTTCTGTGTCTTTAAAGCAGGTAAAAGAGTGGATGTTTTGTTTTACACTGCTTATTTGTTGAGAAGATTACTTGAGATGTCATATTGCACTGAAACACCACATTTGCTTTATTATGAATGCTGCAGTGCAGAAACATCACATTATAATCACTTCAAACAAGAAATATATTCTGCATATTTTCATATGTGTTTATAATTCCACTAAACCTCAGCAGAATCAAACCCAGTAGGAATGAAAATGACAGAAGGTTTAATGTTCCAGAGACTGCTGAAATCTTGGAACACTGATATATGGCAGAATTTTTAATATGTATAAGGTTACTCGTGGCCTGTGACCTCAAAGCATATCTTCTGGCCTTATCACTTTTCCGGGAGAAAAAGTAACCACTGACATGTGCATCTCCACAAATAATTCTAAGGGAATTTGCAGAGTGGAATTTCATAAAATGTCGTACTACCGAAAGATATGATTTATGGATGCAATATGCCCATTTATAACATTTGTGTACTGACCAGACACAGTAAGCTCTGCTTTACTGTATTGCAGCCATATTACAAATGTGCCTTTTAGTCTCTGATAGAAATTCAGTTTCTAAACTAAACTGCATATATTTTAATTTCATTGGTATGTATGTCATAGCAATTAAGGGAGGATTTACATTGCAGCCTTCTATTGTACACACTGCTAGGTCAAACGTAGTACATCAAACATGGAAGTACATTTCATAAATTCCAGTGTTACAACAATACCATACATAGCCATTCTGCAGCCTGGAAGGCAACATGGGTGTAACATGATGGAAGGAGTAACATCCCAGTTTTTGCTCCTGTTAACTTTGTCAGTGTTCCTCCTCCATTATCAACAGCAGAGGCTAATATTTTGGCCATTCGGTTCACATAGTCTTAAACTTCATTAATCACGGCAAACCTGTGCAGCAATTTAAAATAAGGCATACATTCAGATTAAATCATCCCTAGATTAGTTAAAGTTGAATCATTTCTATGAGAAATGCCCTATTCTGCAGTGCACAGTAGGCAAAACTTGTAATGTACTAAAATTGTACCAAAACTATGTATGATTTTTATAGTTAAAAGACACCGTTTCAGGATATAAATTAGCATCAGATATCTAATACTAGAGAGTGAGAGCTCCCTATTGCAAAACATAGCACTAAATATATACAATATATATTTGTATATATAAGTATATACAAATACACAATTCTTTCCTGTTTCTCAGAACAGCTTTTTGAGTGTATTTAGACAATTTCCTAGTGAAAGCTACAAACAATAGTAAATGTAGGAAATAATATGTCTCTGAAATAATCATTTAAACTAGATTCTCACTTTTATATCAGTCAGCTAATAAGCAATTACTGAATATGCTTTCTTCTTATAAATACTAAAAACTTTATTTCCTTGTTCCTTGAAAAGGTGTTAAGAGTTAATATTAAGTGCTCATTTAAAAGCACTACTAAAATTGATATTAAATGAAAGGAATTCCTTGCATTAGACATTAGACTTTAATGATAATTTAAGGGAAAAAATAAACACTTTTTTATTGTGTTATTCATTAGAGAATTATTTTATTTTGCACAGAAGTATAACTGCTGCCAATTAGAATGCTTGTATTAAAAGATACTCTAGTCACAATGTTCTCTGAATTACATAATTCACCATATCTTTACTAATGAAAAGTTTGGAATATACTGTGCAAAAGTAAAAGCCTTATACCTATAACCCCTTCATTCATTCACACAGGCAATATGCATTTTCTTATTTTAATCAAGACTACAATATAGTATATTTTTCTAAGTAATGTGTTGCAACTCAATTTTACTTTAAATAGAATAGTACAAGCAATTATATCTATTTCATTCCATAAAAGCTCATCCATGTCTCTTTCTCTTCCTTCCCCTTTTTCTACAGATTACGTTTTAAACTGCTGTATTGACTTATGGTATGTGATTTGTTAAAATCAGGCAAATATACTAAAGAACTTCATTTACAAATGCAAAATGAAGTAGAAAACTTCTGACTTCTTAAATATTTGATATTTAAGTTATATTTTTTATATATAGAAACAGTTCAGTAACACCATTTTAAGTAATCTTTAGTTCAACCTTTGTCTTTCTAGTCTAAACATTTTTATATTTCTCCAAAGTTTATCTGGACTTTTTCATTATGATGTATGTCAAAGAATCAGCCTAAGTGATAAAAGCAGGAAGGGAAAGTCTGCATCAGTGAGTATTTATATTGGCAAGAGCTGACAATTTTATAAAAGAAAAACAAACACAAAGGCTGTTCATTTCTGAAATGAAATCAGCTTCACTTCATTTCTCTCAGGAAAACATCATTGCACGAAATGATATAAATCAGTATTGATATCACTAAGCTTCAAACCAGAAGAGACAAATGCACTCCACAGTATAGTAATTCAATGGCTCCGAGTCAAGTTTACTGTTGTCTCATTTCTGCTAATCATCGTAAAAATTCCCTGTGAAATAATTATCCCTAAAACAATCAAGACAGTATATCTCTATAAAGGAGAGGATCGATTTAACAACAAACTCCAGATTTATCTGTATTGATTAGAGGGCATTCAGTGTAATTTTAGTGAATTATGTTTGGCTTTCTTTTCCCAGTAGAAATTTTTCTTGTGATGATCAAAAGGTAAATTACAAACTACTACATGGTCTTTTGTGTGCTACCTACATAATACCTAACTATTACTTTTCAAAGAAACATTGATGTGAGAACGGACAAAATATTGGTTTTTTACACATGGTATCTTACTACAAAAATCATATGACTGAGTTTATAGCACTTACCTAAGAGCCTGATGTCATCTTCTCAATTCATTAATACAGAAATCAGGATTGCACTAAAGAGTCTGTGCTAAAGGAACAAATCCAAGATCATCTTATGAGAATAGAATTAGAAAGATTAAGAAAGTAATATGATTTTTCTTCTTAAATAGCTGTAATTTCAAAGGAGCTGTTAACACTTTCATGTCTGAAAGTTTCTTACTGGCAAGCGGGAGAACTAGAAGAATCAGACAGATTCAAAGACAGTTTAGTGCTACTGTAAGTCTGACACCACTGCTGATATAGTTTAATTGAGGACTAATTGGAACTAAGAAGGCTAGTTATTTTCTCAACTGCATGTATATTAGTTCCAGTTGTTTTTAATCTGATGTAAGGGTGATAAAGAGTCTAACCTACTTTGCTTAGTTAATAACATTAGGCCAGAAAGGGTGACCTAGTCATTTCATGTTACTCGATACACTGCTAATATAAACAATGTCTAATTACACTGACTGCATATTTCCATGAAATGGCCAATTAGAACATTTACTGATTCTAAATATTAACTGTTAGATACATTTCCACAGGCATCCTCTGAACTGTATTAATAAATTCTACCCCAATTGGTAGAAAGCATAAAGACAAAATATGTGAGGAAAAAGCTGATTTTAAATAGTACAGAGGACATTTAAGTGCTCAGAGATAGTGTATTAATTGCTATTATCTTCAGTAAAGGTTCCCTCACACAAATATTTCAAGTGAAAATGCACTTTTTAATATAGAAGTATGTAACTTTGCACATGTATTTACTCATGTTACAGAAACAAGGAGATCATACAGCATGTTTAAGAGTCATGATAAATGCATGTGTTAGCTTTTAATATTTTGACCCACACATTCAGTTTAATACGTGTTTGCCTTCAAAGCTGATTTATTGACTATGATCTGTACTTGGCATAAATAATCCAACAGCATCTCTTATTTTTTTTTTACTTTATTGATGAGTCAATAACTGCCCCCTGAAAACATCAGTCTGAGCATATACCAGCATTTTATAGAGTGACACAATCTGACAATGATATTGACAGCAACTATGTTAAACTCAAACTAAAATCAAAATAGAAAAATGTAATAAATGAGAACACTCTCTGCCTTGTCTGAAGAAAAATTGCTGACACTGTAAAACTGTATTTTTAATGATTGAATGATTATGCCTTAAGCAATCATGCTTAAACATTTGCCAGTTACATTAAAGTAAATAACAGTACATCAGTATGTGCATTACCAGATGCTAATTAACATGAAATATCAGAAATACAGGAAACAGTGAGATACCGTTATCAAGCCAACTTAAACAGAAGAAATACATTCACAAGGGCTGCAACCAGTGCATACAATATACCCTCATAATAATTTGATACTGCAAAGGAAGTTGTTGAAAGTATTGATATTAACAATTGTTATGCAGGTACCTAAAATGACTGGTTGCTACATGTCTACATGTATAAACTCTCAGTCGGCTTCACACTTAGACGAGCACAAATTTTGCCACTCAGTTCAGTGGGTTAGTGTCAGACACTTTTTCTGTTCTTCTTATCTGATGCCCTAAATATTATTAATCTACACACACAGAAAAAAAAAAATCATGAGATAGAAAGCAGTGTGAAAACATACAGAACTAACTACTGAGACTTGTTTGAGAGAATTAAATTGTAACTTTAAAAACACATCATATAAATAATTACCATTTCTAAAAGTAAAATAAACAAATATTCATTTAAAATTAGATAGTATGCACTGACTATGTGCTACATTGTCTTATCCAGGATATTTTAAAAATTAAATATGCGATAAACTTTGTCTTATTATAATTACATTAATAATTAAGACTCTTACATTTTTTTCTGAGAACTAGAAATTATTAAATGATGCAGAAAAGAATCAAAGCTTTTATTTAAAAAATGATTCTTTGAACTGAACTGCAATAAATCAATAACAATGTTATTGTTCAATAGCTAATAATTGTCTGCATATAAACTGAAAATATTGTTTGGGGTGATTAATATACAATGCCACATTATGCATTTGGGAGTGTCAATGCATAATTTTTAGGTCTAATGTTATTATGTAATTGAGAGAACATGCTCATTTGCCCTAATAACTACTAAGATGCACTTAATAAAATGAAATGTAATAATACTTGTAATTTAATCTATTCATGGAAGTAATTTTAAAAGTCTACCATTCTCCTTAATGTGGATAACATTCATAATTTATAAAGTGTTGTGATGCAGAATTGACAATGCCATTGTTTTTTACACTTTGAGATGATTTTGCAGCCTTCATTATCTGCATACCAACCTCAGGATTATCAAGGGCAAACAAAAGATAATTAACACCAGAAACAGGCAAATGCAGGAGCTACTGAGTGAGATTTTTCATTTAATGCAGAACCTTTGAAAACTGGGAAATGAAATAACTATTTTAAACCTCTTTTTTTTTTCTCCCACTGCAGAAAACTATTTAAATATGTTTTCTTCTCTGCTTTTTAAATGACTTTTTTCGCTATAAAAGATAATATATTGGCATTTTCACCCTCAGATACATTCACTACATAAACCTTTTAAGTATTTTTTCAAAGTATAGAATGTTAATTTTCTGCAGCAGATTTTTGTCCAGAACTGCAGACTGGTGACTGTGGTACAAATTTTAGATTCTGCAGTTTCACTTGCCCATAGCGTATTTGTAAACAAGTCACTTGACCACTCCATGCTTTGTTGTACTATGCTCTAAGATAACACCTTGACAAAGATGTTTATTGAACAAGGCATATTTTTATATGCTAAGATGTTGGAGGAAAGATTATGTATAACTGCCTGTGGTACTTTTGTATGAACATATACAGAACAATGGCTTGCTAGATCCTGGCACACTGTATTTCAAGACGGTGTATTTCACGTGGAGAGAATCACTGAAATATTCTTTTTTTCCCAAGGAATCCTGGCTAAGATCCCATGTTGCACTCTAAAAATTTGCCATATAGCTAATTATTTCGGATATTCATCAGTGAAGATCCTCCACAAAGAGAACCTTTTGAGTGCAAGGCAAAGAAGTATCGGTTTTTTTTAGACAGTTATCTGCGAGTGAACATCCTCCTACAAATGGTCCAGGCAAAGTAATTTTACAAATGGAAATATAGAACAATGATATTCAGAGTTTCATACAATTTACGAACGTTGATGGCAGTCCAACATCCTGCCCCTTACTTAAATAAGGAGTTCTTATTACAAGGGAATAATTGTTTGCCTATAAGCTGTCCATGAGAGATCCAGTCATTTGTTTTTAAATTGTATGTGTATTACCATCACTTCACTTTTTAAACTTTAGCACTAAAAATACCTGGTAAGTAACTAATCTTAAAATTATATGCAAATAATAGACACTTGTTTTCATTCCAATGCAATAGGTTAACAGTATTCTACACAGGGATGAGGGTTAAGCTATAAATATTCAAGCTGCAAGACAACAGCCTCAGGTTTTAAACACGCTTAAAGTCAATGAACTTCAGTATTACAGTGTTATAGTGTGATCAACTGTTATGAGCATACTCTTAAAACGTATCTTTTGATCTTCAAATGTAACTTAGGTCCCTCAGCAAGAAGTATGTACAGCAGGACAGCACCACAATTACAGACTACCAGTATCAAAATGGCTTGATACCGTGCTAACAATAGAATGATAACTACATGAAATAATAGGAAAAGTTGAATAGAAATTTTCTAATATGTAGGAACTGTAAAAAGCATTGGTGGGAGAAACTTATCTGGTTATATGACTGTAATATTAGAAACATAAGCACATATTTGGTAGTAAGTCCAAGTATTTGTCTCCATTATAAAGTCTCCAACTTCATATTTCAAAACTGTTGTGAATCCATACACATATCTGTAGTTTAGCTTGCACTGTACATGTTTTTTACCATACACTCCATGTAGAAAATATATACAGCAGAATAGAGAGCAGAGCTTCATTCTCTTTCAAATGCTATGATGCCAGTTATACCTGTAGCAGTAACTTCTCTGTCAGTGTTATCCCCAACTTCTATTACTTAGGCTGAGGAGAACATCACTGGTCTGTCTGCTCTGGTCCCATGATCCAAACAAAGGTGTGAGGACCTGAGCAGGAAGGGAGCCCGCATGAGCTAGACCTGCCCCACGCTTCTGCCTAGTCAGCCCTGAAGCATGCTGTTCCTTGTCTGGGTCCCAGTGGCATGTAGAGGCTGCCGCCAAGGCCCAGGGCTCCACTCTGCATTCACTGTTTGGTTCTCACAACCAGGCGGATAAAAATGCCTGAAATCACATAGGCAACTACAGCTATTTTCAGGCACTGAATTGTCACTCTTTGCATCTTTTAGGGTCTAGAAGCTTTTGGAAAATAAGGTTCTCAACTCATCCCGGTCTAAAGCAGGAAGCTGAGAATTTAGGAAAACTTAAGAATCAAGTTGCTCATACTCTAACTATTACATGGACCTCAAAAAAAAATTAAATTCCTTTTATGAAATTTATGAAATTTAAAGAATTTTTTTCTAATTAAAACTCCTTCTTTTTAAAGATAGTGGCTTAAGTTATAATAACATTTATATAAAGCTATTTTAACCTAAGGTACTTAAAATAAATGTGCCATGGTTGGACAAGAGATCATGTGCCCTTGATGTAACAGAGAACACAAGTTTCTTAACATAATTCCATTTATTTAAAGCTTCTTGTTCTTCAGCTTAGCTCCCCTCTCACTATGAAGTGTTACTGAAGGAAAACAAGGCCTGCTCTCTACTATATGCCAGCTTAATTTAAATATAATTTTATAAAATACAGTATCTTTTTATTTACACACAGGAAAAGACTATCAAAGCAGAAGCAACCTGATATCAGGTGGCTCAGAAAAGCGTGCACCACATCAGGCAGTGTTAGTGGATAGCTGAAGCCTCTGAAACAACTATGCCTTATAAATCCATACCTGTCCTTCTTGAAATAGGAAAGGTAATCTCTATTTAGAAAGTCCAGAAGACAGATGCAAATAGAACAGATAATGTAG